TACTCCCTTTTTCCCAGCCTCCTGGACTTCTTGGGGCCGAGTTATGAATTTTCGTCGCAAACTCCGCCCACTTTGGTCATGTCCCCCCCACCATTGACAGCTGGCCTCCACTCCTCCACCCACCTCCATCCACCTTTTCCGCGGCCTCAGGGACTTCTTGGAGCCAAGTCATGAATTTTCGTCGCAAACTCCGCCCACTTTGGCCAAGCCCCGCCTACCACTGGCCTTTGACCTCCACTCCTCCACCCACCTCTATCCACCTTTTCCCCAGCCTCCGGAGCTTCATGGAGCCGAGTTATAAATTTTCGTCGCAAACTCCGCCCACTTTGGTCAAGCCCCGCCCACCATTGACAGCTGGCCTCCACTCCTCCACCCACCTCTATCCACCTTTTCCCCAGCCTCCGGAGCTTCATGGAGCCGAGTTATAAATTTTCGTCGCAAACTCCGCCCACTTTGGTCAAGCCCCGCCCACCATTGACAGCTGGCCTCCACTCCTCCATACACCTCTATCCACCTTTTTCCGGCTCTTTAGGACTTCCCCGACCCGAATTATGAGGGCTTGTAGAAAATGCTGTACACTTCAGAGCGCGCCCCGCCCATTCTGGGCGGCCTCCGCCCACGTCATGTATGCAGGAAACACCTTAGACATTGCTCCCTTACACCAATTGTTTTCTGCTCTGTAGGCTTTCTCCCAACCGAGTTATGAAATTTTTCATAAAGCACTGCTTTTTTAGAGAACGCCCCGCCCACCGGGGGTGGGTCTCCCTAATTCGATGTGACTTACCAATGCACACCTTTACCCACTTTTTGGCCCAGTTTCGAGGTCGTTTTGTCACTGAAATCGAAATCTTGGTCTTTGGTACAATTCATTTCGACGCACGCCACGCCCTCTGTGGGCGGGGCTCCGCTTAGCTGATGTGTGTTTTGTATTACGTGAGACCCTGCCCACCCATCCCACACTTGACCCGGTCCCTCCAGGCGGATCCCGAGGAGCTAGGGAATTTCGTGACAGACATACAGAACGACAGAGGGACAGAACGACAGACGAAGCGCTTTATAGTATGTAAGATGTATGTATGTATGTATGTATGTATGTATGTATGTATGTGTGTCCGTCCGCAAAATGAAGTGAGTGAGTGAGTGATAGGCAGCTAACGGAATAAACAAGCCGCCAACAAATCTGGGTAGCTCGCAGGATTTGCGCTATCAATGTTTTGCACAAGCATGATTGTGATAACCCAGAACGGCTATATAAACACCTACTGAGCATAGTCTCATTCATTCCACATGATGCTGCAATAGCAGCTGGAGAGCAGTAGAGGGAATAGGATAAGATGGAGAAGGGCGAGGGGAGCTAACCGCCAAAAGACCTGAGGTCCAATTAATATCATTCTAAGGTCATGTCACGATTACGGTAATGCCTTCTACAATATAAGACACTTTTTTGTGCATGCGTGCCACCTCCATGTCACCAGTGGATGGGAGCACATTAGAAGGAGTAAAGCTTACGCAGGTAAGGAGGTCCCGGTGGTTGCCGGGGGACCAATCTGGTTATAAATAGAAGGATAAAAGCTTTTGCCTCATCAGCCCTCTTGGGAGTGCGGCACGCCTTCCTTTGTACAATTCGTAGGCGCGTGAATGCGATGTGGCCTATACAATGACTTGCGGGGGCCAGCCGATGTACAAGTCAGTGTTTTTATCCTCCCAGACAAGTCTGGTACCAATTAACCGACCCCGGAGGGATGGAAGGCTTGGTTGGCCCGGGCGACTCACGACCCAGGATTTGATCCCCGGACCGCTCGCGTGGTGATGCATTGCCACTACACCCTCGCGCTTAGACAGAGGCATACACAATTGAAGGGGTGGCGATACTTAGTTTGAAGTTGCTAGAGCTGAGTACGGTAGCGTAATTAGCGGATTACTGTAGCGCACGGCAGGTCACTTCGCACATTCCCAAAATAGCCTGTGGGATGACCCCACTTAATTGCCTGCGCTGGATGCTGACATTTCTTGGCAGCTTCAAAATAAGCAAAACGAAGTGTGTGGAATAATATCAGAGCGAATTAGTGTTTTGAACTATAAATTTTTGAATATCAAATGAAACTTTATTAATACCATACAAATTATTAGGTTGTCTCATAAATAGTGTCGCTTTTTTTCAACCAGAAAATTTTCATCTAAATCCCCATGCTTTTACATCGAGTCATATACCATTCGAAAGAGAATTGTCTGCTCTACAAGCATGTTTTTCTTCCATCTCTGCTTCCAGGCGGTTTCAAATTTTAGGCCGCTCAAAAATGGGAGGTCAGCGACAAATTTGCGATTATAACGACACACTATTCAAACTATTTTTTGCTTTACCAATAGGCATTCGTAGAACTCTGGGATACTGGTCCTCATAGCGATGATCTTGCATCATGAGGCCTGTGTAACCGTTTCGGCACATCGTCTCGAAGCTACTAGCCTCGATACGTAAGCAAAGCACAGCGACAGGCAGCATCCTGAACAGCTACAAGTTACCCGCCAAAATGAAACCTGCCAACTGGTTTTTCAGAAATAGTGCAGGTTGAGGATTATATCCAAAAAAAGTTGAATGACGTACCGAAAGGAGCAGAAACGATCGTGGGGTATTTCCCAACACAACGGCCAAACCGACTAAAATTCGCTCGAAGTGAGATCAATGACACCACCACTCTCCACAAAGATGGTCTTTCCGGCCTAGCTGAAACATCAAAATCACAACTCCAGTAATTCTTCGTGAGCGCGGTATTGAACTAAAAAGCGAGACGCGCGTGGCCGGGTGGGTTATTTCGGCACTAAAGTTATTCATCTCGGTGGAAGCAATAACCGATACAACTACCATATCAATGGTGTGCCCCTAGTTGTGGTCGAACAAGTATCTGATCTCGGTTTCCTTATTACCAGCGACCTTAGCTTTGATGCTCACTGCGAAGCGATTGCGAAAAAGGCAACTGTTGTTATGTACAACTTGTTCAGGGCCCTGACAACCAAAAGCGCTGCCGTACTACTGCGCGCTTACAAAACCTTTGTCAGACCCGTGGTCGAATATGGCACTCCGGTGTTCAATCCATATAAGATTAAGTCAATTAAGAGATTAGAGGCCGTCCAGAACAGTTTCACAAGAAAACTAATGATAAGGATTTTGGGATTCATGTATGATCAAATTCCTTCCAGTGAAACAAGGAATAAGAACTTTGGTCTACAATCATTGCAGTTTAGGGCGGAAACGTAATGATTTATTAAAAAGAAAAACAAAAACAAGGCGGAAACGTAATGATTATTAATGTTCCGTAAAATTTTGCTGGGTGCAACAAGCTTGGTACCTAATGAAATTTGGTCTCTTAGATCCTCTGTTACAACCCCTCCCCCACGACTGAACAAACGAAAAATAATCTAAGTTCGCCTGCTTTAATTTCCAGTGAAGTTTCCGCCAAAACTCTCAAAAACTCGTCAGTATCGTCTCCCCTCCACTGCAACACAACCCTTCTCAGCCCCACGACTGAACAAACGAAAAATAATCTAAGTTCGCCTGCTTTAATTTCCAGTGAAGTTTCCGCCAAAACTCTCAAAAACTCGTCAGTATCGTCTCCCCTCCACTGCAACACAACCCTTCTCCATATCCACCACACACCCCTACAGAAGTTTGCAAATACGACGCCCTTTTGTTGCCATCAGGGCAAGCAGACAAAGAAACCAAAATACGACCTCTCCCCTAACCACTTAGTTTTGCGTAACGAGCCAGCTCGTAAGTCTATCAGAGCGACGAATGAAGGATGCAACTTCTCCCTTCCAAACCACCTCCGCATTGAGCAGCTAGTCCGGAGAATGTCTGAGTGGGTCTCTGTGAAATTGTGACCTAACATATAGTGTCATTTTCAAAGGCGAACCTCTATTCCAGCTTGGTACAAATTCAACTATTGATATGAAGGCAATCACCACAGACAGCTTAGCCATACACCCTACCATCCTATTAAGTACGATCTCGTCCAGAGACCCTTAGAGGGTCAGGAGGCATTAATTTCCTTTCTACCCTAAAGAAACGGCTACTCGATGAGGTTTCTGGAAGCAGTTTGTTATGTTCAACACACAGACAGCGCAAGTAAACAGCTGCACGCATTGTTTAGAATCTGTTTATGCGTCCATCGTGGGAAGGCAAACATCACCGTGCTGTACTGGGCTGTGTCAATTGTGGACGAATACATACGCATGGACTGTTAGAGCTAGGCACCTTACAGGCACGAAACCCTATCTAACCTTGCTCCGTCTCTCCAGCGGTCCCACCTTGCTGTTCTGGATCCGGTCGTGCAGCACCCTTCTGAAATATTCTCATATC